GCGGCAGCTGATCCGCAAGGACTGTTCTGTCTGAGAGCAAACGCAGGTAATTGGAGCGCAAGGAATCGTTGACTGCATCAGTAGCATTCAGCTGAATCCAGGGTTGGGGCACGGCTTTTTCGGATGCTCGCCCGGCGCACCATCGTCGGCAGGGCGGAGCATGACACGTCCGATCGCGGGCAGGGGAGGGGCTTCGGGAGGTTCGGGGCTGAGGGTGTTTCGGCTGTTCCTTGCTGGGAGTGCTTCTGCAAGTTTGCTGTCAGTTCATGTCTGCCGCAGTTTTGACCCACTCGATTTGCAGGATGGGAAGGTCACGGAAAAGCTGAGGCCCAAGGAGGATTCCGATGCATTCATATCCATGTTTAAAGCAGTGCATTCTCGAAGACAGAACTGCGGAGTTGAATTTTTTGGAACGTTGAAAAGAACCAGTGACAATTGCAAGCAGCGCCTTTAAAGTTCGAGGATGGCAAGGAGTTTGAGCCAGTCAATGCGTTCCAAGTGAAAGGAGCTTTGGCCAACGCCGCGACCTTAGCTCCACTCAATCGATTGCCTCAGTTCGTTTCTGTGTTCATGAGTGGTTCTCCACGCCTTTGGTGGGCGACGTCAGGTGGATGACCTGAAGGAAGTGCTGACCTCAAACCGAACTTCGCTCATCCTGTCCGAGTTGTTTGCAGAAGGGCGATGACAAAGATTGCAGTTTTGAGTGTCCATGTTTGCACCTCACTTCCATTGGCTTCGAGGCAATTGAAAAGAAGGAGAAGCTCACCATCGCAGCATCCAAGATCGGCATTTACAGCCAGCAGGAGAGCTTTCCATGTCAAACTCTCCCACCTAGGCTTCCCTGCCGTGTCTCAGCTTGACTTTGCAGGATGGGCGCTGGGTGAGGGAAAACGAAGACACTGAAGTCAATCGCGGCAAATCTAAGCCAAGCACTTGGTCTCGATGCCTTTTCAGCTTAGGTTTTTTTGCCCGTCGCCCCGCCCGCAGGGCAGATTGCTACGGGTTCGTGCTGCCAGACGATGCTTAAGTTGCGTGTGCCTCAGCAGCGCCGGAGTTTGAAATGCTGTGAACTTGCATCCTTCCTTGTTGTGTGAGCTTCTCGGCTGAGGTGACAACAGCATTGACCGACGTGTTGTTGCGCTGCGGCTTTGCTTGACTTCCAGGATTAGCAGTCAGCGTTTCAACGCTCACGTTCCTTCAGCAGGCTACGCCGTTCAAATTTTCAAGTCAAGCGGGGCATGCAGCGGGTACAGGATCAGCGACAGATGCTAGCGCTGGTCAAAAGCAGTTTCACAGAAGCGTTCTTAGCTGTGCTTAGGTGCACAGACGCAATCAATCCATTTGAAGAAGTCCGGGGGAAAGAGCGCTTGCATTGCTTTGCCAGCCAGTACTCAACTGCCAGCATGATTTGGAACGCTTCAAGCATGACAGGAATTTTGTGCAAGTGTTGTCCGGCCCTGCCGTTCTTCAAGTTTGAGTCTTACTTGTTGCTTGACTTGCTCGAGTCTTTTGCGTGAGTTGGGCGAATATGGCAAAGTGGTTCGGAGCTGCTGGCGGGCTGCTGTGGGGCTGCAGGCAGGCTGCCGAGGGGCTAGCGGGCGTGCTGCGTTGACCTCTGTGTTGTCCTCTGTGTTGAGCTGTGTGTTGACCTAGCTAAGGGCTAGACAGGCTATGGGCCGGAGTGGGGGGATAGGCGGATGAGTTGCTGCTCGGAGTGGGGGGACACTCCAGCAGCTCGGCCGAGTAGGTAGCTGGCCAACTGCAGGGCAAGTGACAGCCTGGCGGGCCAATTGCGGGCCAATTCTGGGCCAATTGTGGACCAATTGTGGGCCAATTGGTGGGCCAATTGGTGGGCCAGTTGTGGGCCAATTGGTGGGCCAGTTGTGGACCAACTGTGGGCCAATTCTGGGCCAAATGGTGGGCTAATTGTGGGCCAATTGTGGACCAATTGTGGCACAATTGTGGACCAATTTTGGGCCAACTGTGAGCCAATTGTGGGCCAATTGTGGGTCAATTTGGGCCAATTTGGGGCTAATTGCGAATCAATTCTGGACAAATTCGGGCTAATTTTAGGCGAGTTGCGGGCCAATTCTGGACCAATTTTGGCCAACTGCGGGTGAATTTGGGTCAATTGTGGGCCAATTGGCGGGCCAATTCTGGACCAATTTTGGGCCAATCATGGGCCAACTGGATCAATTCTGGGCTCATTGCGGCCGATTGTGGTGGGCGGGCTAAAAAAAGCTGTGCCGACTGCTTCCAGAGCATGCCCGGCGAATGAGTGCCCAAAGGTGCCCCCTCTCTTATATATGCCTGTCACCTCATTGTGCATCTCTCCTTCGTGCGAACGCCTGTCCCTGAACGCCACGGACAGGAAAGATTTTTACCATCACTGCCTTCGCTACCTTGCACCCTGAGTAAGATGCAAAACACTGGCCAGGAAGGCGGCAAAGGGCGTCCTGGTCTTCAATGTGCGGAATGCAAAAAAGACAAAGGCTGAACTGGCAAGGCGCCTGCTGTGCTGAGGCTGCCTGGGGCGGGCAAGGCGTCGCCTGAGGGGCGGCCGACAAGGGAGTCAAATCTGGGCTTGCAGGTGAATTAGAGCTATGGCTTCATGCCGTGAAGGAGAAGACTGATGATGCAAACGCTGGACCTACCTTGTCCACTGCCTTTGGAAACCTGGGCGAGGCTTTTTGGGCGGGTTGTCGACTGCCTTGGGCGGAGTTTGCATTCGTCTCGGAGCGGCGGGCAAGTATTGAGTCCGCTTCCTTGAGGTAGGCAAAGCGCAACAGTGGCCCAGGAGGCCGGATATAACGGGCCCAAGCGCGCACCACGATGGTTGTGAGGCATAGACCTTCCTTGAAAGATTGTGTGAGGCGGATCGGGGAAGAGGGAAAGCGTATAGGCGACCTTCCACTTTCCCGAATCTTGTGCGGCCTGATAGCCACAATCATAAGGGAAAGCCGGTCCATGGGCCCGAGGTAGTTGCCGGCTAACATCTGATCAACGATCTGATTGAGCATGAACATTATCATGCCCAAGTCTCTCTGCTGCTGAACCCTCCATAGCGCCCAAGTACCGGCAGAAGAGAAGGCACCGGCCTGCAGCCTGCTTGTATCGAAATTTCTCCCTAAGAATGCAACGCACGGATTAAGCTCTTGAGGGCATCGGAAGAGGAGCATTCTGCGGACCCACAGGATTGGTTCGGCAGCTGCTAATCTTCGGCGGACGCTCCAAAGTGGCGGTCCTTTTGCAACTGAAAGCTGGAAAGGCTGGCGTTGAAGGCACAGGAGGGGGCCGATTGCGTCTCCGTGACACGGGCTTCGAGCTCCTGGCCAGACTTTGCAGCATTTCATCGGACATTGCAGGCATCATGTGGAGAAGCGACTGCAGCTCGGCAAGATAAGCCGTTGTAACCCGGGTTTGCGGCAGGATTCCTCCCAAACCTTTGCACCTGGGCCTGGCTCCTCGGGCTTGATGGTCGAGAATCCCATCAGCTCCTCCACAGCGGTCCACAGCCAAGCATCCTAGGTGCCCACCCCTTTTCCCTAGGTGGCAAGGAGGGTCTTCTCGAGGGTCTAGTGATAGACGATTACTACGCATCGCAGGCGCAGAGCTAGACACCTCAGTCTTTACGAGGTCGTTAGGCTTAGCTTTAGCAGGGCTTCCGCGAGCAAAGCGCGTCGCTTTAGCAGCAATTTCTTTGGAAGCCTGCCGACTGACTGCTACTAGCGCCACTTACACCTCTGTTTGTTAGGTGGTTGGGTGTCCGCTTGCATGTATAGACGTTCCTGCATGTCCGCCCTAAATGCCGCCTTTCGGTAGATGCTCAGGCAGTAAAGCCCTCATCGTCCCGCATCATGCCTCTGCCCCGCCGTGTCGCGGATGAGATTGTTCTCGTGTCAGCGCTGTGCCACCTGATTGTCGCCGACATCGCCGCTCCGTGGTCTGACGTCCTCTACGCCACGGACTCATCAGATGCCAAAGGGGCCATTGTCTCTACCCCCTTCTCGCCTGAGGAGACGGAACGTCTTTGGACAGCGTCCACCAGGCTAGCCGAGCCGGCCAAGCTCCTTTCACGTGAGGCTGCAGCACTTAGGCGTGTTGACCCCATGACCGAGGAGTTGCCTGGTCTCCCTTTCCCTTCCCACGTCTGGGGTCCTAAGAAGTCCCCTGCCCTTCGTTTTCATTTCCTTGAAATCTGCGGCGGGACTGGGAAGATAGGGGCTTTCCTTGTTAGCATGGGTTGGTCGGTAGGGCCTCTCCTTGACCTATCATCCTCCCCTCAGTACGATTGGGCATCGGATCGCATCTTTGCCTGGGTATGCCACCTGGTCGAATCCTGGTGGATTCAGTTTTCATATCCCCTCCTTGTACAACGTTTTCAGCGGCGGCTTTTCCGGCCCTTAGGACTGTCCGTAATCCTTTTGGCCACAACCCCAAGCACGCCAGAACTCGGCTCGGCGCAGTCCTTGCCTTGAGGTCCCTGTGCCTTATGTATGTGTGCCACCGGCATAGCATCCCGTGCGCCCTAGAGCAGCCACGCACTAGTAAGATGGCATCCTTGCCCTCTTGGAAGGCCATCGCGGCATTGCCTTCAGCCAGGGAGGTATTCACGGTAGGATGTGCCTTCGGCGTGGCCCAAAAGAAGCCCTGGCGCTTCCTAACTGTTTGCATGGACGCCTCTCGTGTTGCCAGGAGGTGCACTAGGGATCACTCTCACGTGAGAGTGCAGGGCAAGGGTCTGCGGTGTATCCCGACGCTCTCGGCCTTGAGTTGGCCAGAGTGTACTCCGATGCCATCCGCGCCAGATTGTTGGCCCTGGACCAGTCTGCCCTCAATTCTGATGGCTTGGAGTCCCCCTATGTGAACGAGATCGCTATCAGCAGTGAGTGGGAGACAGTGAAAGCATGGCACTGGCGTCGCCCGACCCACATAAACTTGCTTGACTGCCAGTGTCTACCGCCTTTGCAAGCACCTCGCCTTCAAGTCTGGCCCTGTGCGCTTCTGCTCCCTTTGCGACTCCAACGTAGCTCGCTGCGCAGTCTCCAAGGGAAGATCGCCTTCCCACGGCCTCACAAAAGGACTCAAGCGTGTAGCTGCCCTGTGTCTGAGTTTTGGACTCTACCCGCAGCTGCCCTTCTGCCCAACTCGGTTGATGCCAGCCAACCACCCTACCAGGGACGTGCCATTCCCTCCGCCAGGCTGTTCCTTTGTGCCTTCAGGAGCCTCTCGCAATCAGCTCGCTCTCCTGCGTGCGCTCCCCCGTGTGAGACGCTGGCTGGCCAACTGGGTCAGGCTCGTTTGCCTCCTCTTGCCTGCGCTGCCCGTGTTTGGTCCTGACCGCCGCGACCGCGGCAGGGCCTGGCGCATTTTCGGCGAAGGGCCTTTAGGGGGTTCTGGTTTCCTTCCTCTCCTCCTCCTTGTCCTGTCCGTCTGTCTTTGTCTGAGCCATGGCGTGCGACCGCGCAACACAGGTGACGAGCTGAGACGAGCTGCCCGAGATCCTTTGCCCGAGATCCTGTGCCTCTCCCGCAGAGGCGACCGGTTGAAGCAAAGACCCAAAAGTTGAGGGATCAACTCTGGAACCAGTTCTTGGAATGGCTTACTGCAAATCGCATTGACAAGGCCCTTTTC